AGAGCCCCTGAATTAGACAGGCCGACTTATCTATTTTTGGAGCAAAGAGCTAACATAAGCACAATACTAACATAACGTTAACTTGCGAACTTGTTTGCACAAATTGGGTATAATATGAAAAAGACACAACTACTTCCACTTCGAAAATTTTACTAGGTATAACATTTACCTTTTAGCTTAATTAATAAAGTTTTAAATATGTTTACTAAATTCATAAACTTAGATAAAGCAACAAAATAAATTCTTTCTAAAGGAACTTAGACTAATACAATTCCAACCTGGCGAGTAGCGACTTACAACAAAACACTTCGTTTCATGTTTATTTGTTGCTAGAAATCAGGTTCGCGGAAAATGCTTTTTACTAGTTAAATTTAGTAGGAATAACACGACCTGTGACGTAGGCTATAGTATACCCAATATTGCTTGATAGGTCAGCTCTGATAGTATAGGAGCCTTAGGTCAACGTAGTAATGCAATACGTTAAAAATCAATACAAATAGGAAATGTATAAAAATTCTCCTGAATATAAACTCATTACATGCATGTTTAAATATAAGAGTATAGCCTATATACCAGTGCGAAACATGCAATTATTAAAAAACTACAGTGCGACGAATAATTTGATCTAATTATTATAATATACTAATATAATACCTGAACTAATAAATACTCTATATTTATATAATACATCGTCTAATTTATCCAATCATCTAATTTACATTACACGTCGTCTAATTTAACCGACTGATACGCGAACGTAAACAAGTGCAAACCGGTTTCAGTCACGTAAAAACAATAAAGCTGTCGAGTATTAGCTGATAAGTAATATTTTACATAAAATCTCATAGTGAGTCTAATAATTTGGCCAGGGACTGTAGGTTAATCATAGGTAGTCCACTGGAACTGTAGGTAGTCCACAGGGACTGTAGGTTAATCCACTGGAAATAAGAATCGAGCAAATAATAAACTTTTTTTTTTTTATTTAAACTAAAGTTTTAGTACAAGACTATTTATCAAAATTTATATTTTGTCCCCCGGCAAAAACTGAAATATTTTTGTTTTGCGTAACTAAAATTAATGATGATCTCTCAAAAACAAGCAATATTTCTCTGATCAACAGAGTGCTGATGACAAATCAGCCATCAGAATGAAAAATCTACCTCCCAAGAGAAGGATTTATTGCAGCAGATAAAAAAGGTCAACCTGTATTTTGCTTCTCCTTCCTTAACACCCTTTACTTTTATTGGGTGAGAAATTCGATTGATCAAGCCGACGATTGGATTGTTTACTAGAAATGATAGTAGCTTTCCAGCATTACTCACTGTTAGTCGATCTTACGGTTGAGATCACTTTCTATGGGGCTATTTGTATTTCGGTAGCTGCTCAACATTTCTCAAGGTGTCTAAGTTTTCCATTGTTGTCAATACATTTTTATTGGCTGGAAAATCACATGGTAGGATACAGTTTTCCCACATTATTTTTAATATTTATTTGGTTGTCATTGGCATAAAATTGATATAAATCATTGTTTTCCTATAAATATTTTTGTTTCCCTAATTTAAAGGTCAAAATTACCTGTACTGTTATTATTACAATTTTGATTTCGTTTGATTTCTAAATTAAGAGTTTTGGAGGATCGTTTTTATTGTTATTATTATTAGAATAATGTAATTCTACGTTACATTTTAAGATAAAGTTATTTTAATCCGTTTTTGATCCAATTAACCGTTTTACAATTCTTATTTTTTGGTGCAAATGACATTAATATACTATTATAAATTAGGGTTAAGGAGATTCGTTAAATGATTTAGAAACTTAACTTTCAGCTTAGTGCACAAAATGAAGAATGCAAAAATTGTATTTAAAATTACTTCCGGTAAGCAAAAATATTAAACTACAGTTGTGAATTCATCAAATTAGTTATGACAATTTATTTTTAATTTTACATATTATTTCAAGAAATGATTACTTCGAAAAATTATTTATGTTCACTTATACACCGAAGAGCCATTACATTATGACCACCCTACTAATAACATGTAAGACCGCCTTTAGCCCTCAAAACTGCTAGCACCCGCTGTAGCATTGATTCCACAAGGTGCTGATAGGTAGTCTGAGGTATCTGGTACCAAGTGCTCACCAACTGGTCCTGCAATTCCCTCACATTGCAAGGGAGTAGCGTGGCAGCACGAATTTGGTTTTCCAAGTAGGACCAGAAATGCTCTATTGGATTAAAGTCAGGTGAATATGGGGGCCAAGACATGACTTGAAAGTCGCTGGAATGTTCCTCGACGATTCGACCCTTATGACAGGGTGCATTATCCTNTATTGGGTGAGAAATTCGATTGATCAAGCCGACGATTGGATTGTTTACTAGAAATGATAGTAACTTTCCAGCATTACTCACTGTTAGTCGATCTTACGGTTGAGATCACTTTCTATGGGGCTATTTGTATTTCGGTAGCTTCTCAACATTTCTCAAGGTGTCTGTCTCAGTTTTCCATTGTTGTCAATACATTTTTATTGGCTGGAAAATCACGTGGTAGGATACAGTTTTCCCACATTAATTTTCATATTGGTTTGGTTGTCATTAGCATAAAATTGATACAAATCATTGTTTTCCTATAAATATTTTTATTTCCCTAATTTAAAGGTCAAAATTACCTGTACTGTTATTATTACGCTTTTTATTTCGTTTGATTTCTAAATTAAGAGTTTTGGAGGATTGTATTTCTAGTTACTAGTGGGCTGTGCCCCCAGCTCGCTAACGCTCGCCAACCCCCGAAAATTGCTACGCGATCTTATATGGTTTGCTTCGCAAACCAAGCTCGCTTCGCTCGCTACTAACTTAGGTACATTGCAAGTGCACAAAATTCTAAGAATTCAAAACAATCATTCAAATCCATATAACAACTTTCTTTTTTTTTAAAAAAAATTACATCTTTTTAGTAAACACTAAGTCATCAAAATAAATTTGAATTCAAATAAATGACATGTAATTCGTTAAACCTATTAGAAATGTGCTATAGTATAATTCGTGATATAAATCAAGAATCGTCAAATAAATTCGTGACAAAAAGCGCTTTCGACAAAATACTAATAAAATAGAGATCTATCGACAAAGACTACTCACTTCTGTCTAGCTTAATAGTATGAGATTGCCGCAGCTGATGCTCTCTGGTTATTTCAGTTTCCGTTTTTAAAAGCGCTATATGTTGAGTCACCTCAGCTAGATTTGGCATGTAACATTTTTAGCGGCAATCATTGGTCGATTCACCGTGTAAAAGAAATAGTAACATAAACAAAACAAAGCAAACGTTACCACCGGCGGAAAAGAAATACAGCCAAAATTTGGGAGCCACGTAAGAGAATTATATATATTAGATTATTATTAGAATAATGTAATTCAACGTCACATTTTAAGATAAAGTTATTTTAATCGGTTTCTGATTTTATTAACCGTTTTACGACAATTATACTTTGGTGCAAATGACACTAATGTACTATTATGATGATTTTATTTACAGTTTTACAACAATTATACTTTGGTGCAAATGACACTAATGTACTATTATGACTATTTTATTTACCGTTTTACAACAATTATACTTTGGTGCAAATGACACTAATGTACTACGGTTAAGGAGATTCGTTATGTGGGGGCGGAGTTATTCGACCATGCCAACCGTCATCTATCAAAAGGTACCTCGTAATTGAATCAAGTTAGCATGTCTTTTATACTAGTGAATTGATGTTTAATTTTCGTAGTGGTAGTTACGCCAGAATTTAATGATTTAGAACTTAACTTACAGCTTCATGCAGAAAATGAAGAATGCAAAAATTGTATTTAAAATTACATCCGGTAAGCAAAAATATTAAATTACAGTTGTGAATTCATCAAATTATAGTTATGACAATGTACTTTTAATTTTCCATATTACTTCAAGAAGTGATTACTTCGAAAAATAAAGTCTTAAAGATCTTAATAGTATCGTAAGGGAAATATTTGGACTTGGGAAGGGGAAGTACAAGTGTTCTTTTCAGTACATTTATTTTTAATTGAATAATTTCAACTGTTTTATGCCAAGAAGCAGTAATTATTGCGAATAAATCATCGGCGCTGGTGAGGGACAGCGAGCAGGGGCTTAGCCGCCTAGAATGTTAAACAAATCTTGTTATACTAATTTAAAAAAATGAATAATTAATTCAATAAAATGAAACACGCAGAATAATCTTTTCGAATTTTCATTCACTAAGATGCAATCTTATTGATCTAAAAGGTACACCCTGAATATTCGAATTAATACAGTCAAACCCCTTTATAGTGAACATGGTTTATAGTGAACTCCCAGATATAATCAACGAAATGTTCGCTCCCGTGCCATGCTATACACAGATAATATAATTTTTTGTGGATATAGTGAACCAAAAGAAGAGAGGAAATTCGATATAACGAACTTTTTTCTGTCTTAAACTGATTTTTTTCCTTCATTTTTTGGTAATTTGGTTTCCCATCCCTAAATTTTTTGTACGCAGTACGAAGAGCAATAAAAAATAAAAGCACAAACACATTTTGTTACTACATATTGTTTTTTAAACCTTCTTGTACTTCTTTTTATGATTCATTTATTTAAATAATGTGAAATAAAAGGGAACAGTTTGGAAAAATTAGTTAAAATTGTTTGCAGTACGGATATAGTAAAGTCCCGGTTATAGTGAACCAAAATTATGGTCACTATAGCGGGGTCTGACTGTATTTTGAATTACAAAATAAAATAAATTGTAGCCAGTACTTAGTAACCACATGCACTTGTGTCTCGAATTTATTCTACATCTTCAGATTCGTGAATATTGTTCCAATGAGGATCCAAGTTATTTTGCTGCTATCTAACAACTATCTTTTTTCAACTAAAGCAACTTTTGCTATCATTTGTTTCACGATCAATTTTTTTTTCTTAGTTAATTTATACTAAATATAAGACCTCTTTATTTTTTTCCAGACGTGAGCTATGAGGACTTTGATCCGGCAGCTCCCCGCTACAGACCACTGAGAATCAACGCTCTCTGCAGATTGACCAGTTTCACGAAATCAGAAATCAAACTGATGTACCAGGGTTTTAAACAGGTATTATCTCTTTTTCAATATCTTTTAATGATTGCCTGTAATATGCATGTCCTTTGAGAGAAAAACCTATACACATGGAGATCGAAGTTTAAATAAGAATCAAATTATAAGATACTATCAATCATAATTTCCTGCGAAAAGATTAGACAGAAAAGTTTAAAATCACCAAGAAAAAAATATTTTTTGTCTGTAATGTGTTCGACTCTCATTAAAGTTTATTTTCAATTGAACTGGTTTTAGATAACTTCAATTCCTCATTTTCTTAGTAACCTCGATAATGATTCGTCAGAATTTGGGAAAAAAATTTCTGGTATAAACAATAGATATGTGGAATAATAATGTTTCCATTAGGGTTTATAGAGTGCGGCAGGAATAGTGTACCCAGAGATTGCATAAAACTTATAAATATGACAGCGTTTAAACTGAATGTGAATTTATACAGAAATGGATGAGCTCCATTATAGAACAATAGTGCATTTTTTAGAGGTAAAAAGTTATCGCGCCGACAGAGTGTTGTGCAGAAGCCAGGCATCGTAGCTCTTCGATTGCCTTTAATCACTTCTCCAATAACGGCAATGGTGTAATTGGGGATTTTGTGTAAGTATTGACACGATTTGTTTAAAGTCTTTCACCTTATTGAGAGCTTTTGTCTGAGAGGACAGCTTTCATTAAACGATAAGTTTTACTCGTACGCTTACGCTCTGCCACTAAAAACCATCCCTCTACGCTTTATTCTGCTCTGAACGCATTCATCTTTAGCACGACTTTGTATTCACTTTGGATGCTCCCATGTGATTAATAAGTTATGCAATCTGCGTTGCACTTCAGTGAAGAGTCTCTCTGAATGATAACGCTACTATCGCTACTGTATTTCTGACGTTATCACTCTTGCCTTCGTATCATTTTCTTTGGGCAACCTTCATATCAATTTAAGACCCGGAACATAATACCGTATTTTATATTTTACAAGGGTTTTTAAAATACAATAAAAGTCCGTTATAACGACAATTGGCATTAGAAGGCGGAATTCTTGTTATGGTATTCTTGTCGTTCTAAACAAATACACATATTTAATATTTAAACAGCAATTAATGCAAAAGAGAAAAATTAAATGGACACATTTCTCTCTTTTGTTTTGAACAACTATTCTGATTTAAAATGTACGTCTAAAATAATCAGCCTTGTCGTACAGGACTGAACTGGGATTTTTTTCGAGAAAAAAAATGGCTTTTGGTATATAGCTTTTGACGTCATCGACAATCTCTGAATATTGATTTTAATCGTAAACTGTTAAAAAAGGAAATGAGGCGACATGTCGTCAACAAAAGACTCATTCTTTCGAATTGTGCGGTATAATTTTTAATGATCAAAAAATAATGTTTCTTTCGAACGGAGGATGATAACTTTGCCTGTGGTCATCCTCACTTTCAAATAATAAATATATATTTTCTGTAATATTGCTCACTCGATCAATAGAAAAAAGAAAGAATACCACTAAAAAAATGCAGCAATAGTGATCGGCTCGTCATAACAGATAGTTTATGCTCGTTATAAACAAAAAATTTTGTACCTTTTATTATAAGCATTTTGGTGGTGGCTTGCATATGTAGCGTAATATGCCGTATCTGATCAATAAATGCTTTTACTCAATGTATTAAGCGTGGTGTTTACGAAACGATCTATAAAAAAAGTACAATAAAGGAAGACGATGCTAGGATAGCCTGGTTGGTAGGGCACTGGACTCATGTCCAAGAGTTCGTGGGTTCGATCCCAGACGGATGTAGTGCAGTAAATGGTGACTGATGCACGTTAAATCTGTAGAGTCGCAAAGTCCTCCATGTTCCCATAACAAATCAATATCTCTGGGGGTACTGCTCCAGGAGTTTCCTTGTCTTCTGGATTGATTCAAAATCACAAGGCTACGGAGTTGAACATTAGTATTTGTAAACCCAAAATTGGGTCGGCTGTTCAACGACGGTTATAAAATATAAAATAGTATAAAGGAAGACGGAGCCGCGATACCTCACGGAATAGAGCGTTCATCTTCCAATGAGGTGAACTGGGTTCGAATCCCAGTCGATACGAATTCCGCATCAGGCTTGCACCGGCCACAGTGCTGATGTGAAATATCCTCAGTGGTAGACTTGCTCAGAGTTCACTTGCCGTTAAGCGTTCGTGGGAGGTTCTCGTGGTCTTCCTCTTTAGTGGTATGTCCTCCACGAGGGCAAATTTATCCCAATACTTTATCCAGGAGTTCCCTTGTCTTCTAGATTAGGTTCAAAATTACAAGAATGCGCAGTTGAACATTAGTAGTGCGAAACCCAAAATTGGGTCGGTTGTTGAACGACGGTTATAAAATATAAAGGAAGACGAATAAATTGATCATTTAGATTTTTGCTCCTTTTCATTGCTATTACCACGAAATTGTAGTAGGGAAAAAGTAGTTTATCGTTATAAAATTTTAACCTTTTCAAATGATCCATTCTTTAAATAATTTTCTCATTTCTTTTGATCTTAAGGAGGATCATGCAGTTAAAGGCTGTAAAAAAGAAAGATTTTTTGAATGATTTTTGTAATGCTTGTGATTAAATTAACCTAATATACATATTTTTTAAACTTTTTAAATTAGCGATAAATTGCTGTGCCAAAAAATCATTAAAATTTGATTTTGTTTTGATTTTTTTTTAAAGTTCATAATTTGTTTTTGTCGCAGACAGGATTTTTAAAAAATATATATTTTTGCTACAAAATGGCGTACAAAATGGCATAAAATAAGTTACGTTTTGTGAATGAACTAGTCAAACCAATTAAAAAAATCCCTCAATTACAAAGAAAACTATATTTGTTGTGAACATTGTGATAAAAAGTGAAGTTATTTAATTAAGAATTGTAGAAGTTAGGGATGCAACAAGTAAAAAAAAAACCTAATTTCACTTAAATTGCTTTTAAAGTTTTGTGATCAATAAATGCGTAAAATTCTGGCAAGTTTCCTAAAAAATCCCTATTGAAATAGAATTACTACTCAGATTATTGCTTGCCTGAATATTAAAATAAGTATTATATATAATAAAGTTTAGCTTCATTTATGAAAATTAGGTTTAAATCATTTTTCATTTATATCATTAGGTTTATATCATTTCAAATTGTCAGCTTATTTTTATTCAGAACTCCCTTTTTAAATAAATTTAAGAATATTTTAACTATCTCTGGCGAATTAAATGCCTATTACTATTCAAAATTATCCGTAAACATAATGCATACCATTTCAGACCACCCTCTCCCGCCTAGCTACCGGCCATCTAAAAGGTTTTATTTTATTTTATAACCGTCGTTGAACAGTCGACCCAATTTTATGGACTTACGACTACTAATGTTCAACTCCGGAGCCTTGTAATTTTGAACCCAATCCAGAAGACAAGGGAACTCCTGGATCGAGTATTGGACGAAATTTGAATTCGTGAAGGACTTTCTGATGGAACTAACCTGCATTTGCGTTACATGGAGAGGAAGACCACGAAAATCTCCCACGGTTAGCCTGACGGCAAGGGGACTCTAATCCATGATCCGTTAACTACTGAGGATATTTCACGTCTGCACTGTAATCGGTGCAAGCTGGATGCGGAATTCGTATAGACTGGAATTCGAACCCAGTTCGCCTGATTGGAAGGCGAACGCTCTATCCCCTGAGCCATCGCGACTCATCTAAAAGGTTTTTATATCCGTCGTTGAACAACCGACCCAATTTTGGGTTTACGACTCTTTATTTTCAACGCCTTGTAATTTTGAGCCAATCCAGAAGACAAGGAAACTCCTGGATCAGTACCCCTTGAGGTACTGATTTGTAATGGGAACATGAAGGACTTTGTGACTCGACATATTTAACGTGCATCAGACGCCATTTGCTACATGGGGAGTCTTCGGCCGACGGGGATCGAACTCACGAACTCTTGGATATGGGCCCAGTGCCCTACCAACCAGGCTATTTCCTGAAAGGTTTACTTTTTTTTAACTGGAACTAAAACCTACCCCCTCTGCCGTAAATGCCCTTCTACACCGGACTTCAGCCGATCATATCCTGGACTGTCTTGGTCTTGTCTGGGAAGACTCTACTCCTCTTTTGGTCTTCGATTTCATGCAGGTCAACGGGTTAAGAGATCTGGTCTGACTTCGTCAGGCCAGATAAGGATAAGCAGCAACAACATAGCATTTCATTTAAGTTCATTTAAAGATCATTTAATGTCCATCAGAAAATATTGTAGCAGTTTTTCTATTTTGATGACTATAAAACCCCTGAAATTCCCTATGCGTAAAATATTTAGTATATTATGCAACAATTATCATGAAATCTATATTATTTCGTAAAATCGACTGGATTTTTGTTTCCTATTTATGTTCGCAGTTATGCTTATTATACTAATTTAAAAGCACGAGAGAAAAAATTTATGACCAATTCTTCACTATAGGTAAAATTTTGCAACTCCCTTCCAACCCCAAAAGAACGGTATTAAAAATCAAATTTAGGTAATAAAATTCTTTTTATAAATTAATCACTATCCCCAAAATATTTTAAGATTACACTGCTATATACAGTCTCTGACCAAATTCTTAGACGCACTATAAGATTCTATGAAAAATCTTAATTATCAGGTGGTACTATACAGCTTTATTGTTTCTACGCGACTGAAACCGGTTCGTACTTGTTTACGTTAGTGTATCAATGGATTAAATTAAACGATATATATGCTACCGTTTATGTATATAATGCAGTTATTTCATAGAATACCTAGTTATTCCATGAAATAACTGATCGTGTCCGTTAAAGTGTGTAATATGTTATTAATTTGACACTTTAACTAGTTATTCCATGAAATAATTAGATATTCTATAAATTAACTAATGAGAGACAGTTAAAGTGTAAAATAAACAATTTATCTAAAATGAAATAACTAGATATTCTATAAATAAACTAATGATATACAATTAAAATGAAAAAGAAGCAA